TTAATTAAAATGGGCTTGTACAGTGAAATTGTGAAATCCCCCTCGGGTGCAGGGACTCTGGCAGTACGCGGAAATGACCCCCACTTTGAGGCTTCTGAACCGCGCAGGTAATGTTGTGTGAAGTGCCTCGGGTGCCTGGCACATGGTTGATGCTCAATGGTCGCTGTTTTTAGGAAGTCAGCCCGGTGTAGAGGTTTGGCTTGAATGCCCCCTGAGTACATGTGTTGTGTTATCTTGTGCAAGTTGATTTGCCATCTTTGGGGAAAATCTCTTTATGAAATGGGGAATATCGTTCCTACTTCACAGAGGAGTGGGAGGCAGGAAAAGCAGCCGGGAGACCCTTTGCAGAGGGGCTGGACACAGGAGGAAGATGACTGTCCTCTTCCACCTCCAACCCCAGCGGAGAGATGTCACCGTGAAGCCGCCACTAGAGAAAAATGGCCAGAAAGCAATGATTTTCCCTTTTTCAGTAATGGCAGAGAGAAAGTCAGCTTTGCTTTAAAGCACATTGCCTTGGGGCTGGGCAGGGTGGCTCATGCCTGTAATCCTAGCACTTTGGGAGGAGATCACTTGAGGTCAGGAGTTCAAGACCAGCCTGGCCAGCGTGATGAAATCCCGTCTTTGTTAAAAAATACAAAAAAATTTAGCTGGGTGTGGTGGTGCACACCTCTCCCAGCTACTCGGGAGGCTGAGTCAGGAGAATGGCTTGAACCCAGGAGGTGGAGGCTGCAGTGAGCCAAGATCCTGCCATTGCACTCCAGCCTGGGCAACAGAGCCAGATTCCGTCTCAAAAAAAAGGGCACATTGTCTTTGTGACATTTCGTTTTTCATCTCCCTTGGTTTTGGCAGAATTGTGAGAAGTGCCTGACGGGGAGGTGTAGGAGCAGGAAAGGTGCTTCTTTTCTGGGGAGGGTGTATGTGTGCCACACGCGCCACTGCACAGCTGCACACACACGTGCGTCAACATCGGAGCCGTAGCTGCCCCGCACAGCTGGGCACAGGCCGTGCAGGAGATACGCCACCCATGAGCCGCTCTTCCTCGGACACCGTCCAGCCTTGAGGACCTCGCTGGGTGCTGGGAACAGCTGGTCATCCTTAGAGAGGAAGGCTGAGGACTCAGAATGGACTTATGGATATTGATTTTATACTTTGGGTTGTTATCCAATACTATCTTACTTTCTTGTTCAGATGGCTTCGTCTTGGGTCTTAGGGAGCTCTTTCAGATGGCTCCCGTGTCACTTCCACATATCTCCATTTGGGGTTTTATTTGAGCACTTCCTTACTTTCTGGCACTACAAGATGTTCCAGTCTCATCGTCTGTATTTCCTGCCCCAGTCTCAGAATCAGCCATCTCCCCGAGGAGCCTCGGGTCCTTTTATTGGAGAAGAGTGTTAGAAACCCAGATCTGGGGCCAGGTGTGCTCACTGCTCCTGGGGGGCTGCTTCTCTCAGGCCCTCCCAGCTGACAGAGCAAAGAAATACATGCGTGTGTACTAACCCCTATATATACACACACCTACCCCTATATATACACACACCTACCCCTATATGTACACACACCTACCCCTATAGGTACACACACCTACCCCTATAGGTACACATACCTACCCCT